ACACACATATATATATATATATATATATATATAGGGTATATTTGTTTTACAACCTTGTGCATTTGTACAACCTTTGCAACCCAATTAATTGAGATATTTATAGAAATGATTTGAGTTCATTTATTATGATTTGAATATTTATGGAATATGAATAGAGTTTATTAATTATGATTAATACTTTATATATATATATATATATATATATATATATATATATGAGGACAGGTTCAAAGCTAAACATTTTGTGAGAATGCGAGAAGTTGCAATAGCATATATAATTACACACATGATACACAAGCTTAATAATTTATGATTAAACATATGTTGCATTGACAACACATAGACGCTTAATCATATATGATTAATCACACCCAACAAAGGAGTATAATCATATATGTTATTGAAAATTTTTCGGATTGTCGCAAAATATTTAATTTCTCGCTTGATCCTTCCCCTCTCTCTCTGTTGTATATATACAGAGAGAGAGAGAGAGAGGGGTAACTTCATACGATAATGGTACCTATTTAAGAAAATAAGAAAATGACAAAATTACGTACAAAATCACAAGTGATTTTACATTAACGGACAAACAAGGAAGTGCGAGCGACTTTGGCCGCAACATGATCAAAGTCACGTGAATCACATGTGATTTTATATGTGATGTTAGTGTAAAATCACATGTGATTCTGCCATTTTCTTAAATATGTATCATTATCGTATGAACCCGACTCTAGATATAGGCTTGGGTTCCGTTGAGAAAAAGAGTTAAGATGAGAAGCGTAAGAAGGGATCTCTACTCTTGAATGCACATTAGGATGAGATGCACCGGATCAATCTTTGTATCAATCACGATTCATAGGTGGGTTTGATATTAAAGGCGATCAAGAGTTCAGATCCCTTCTTACGTTTCTCAGCTTAACTTTCCTTCTCAGATGATCCTTCGACTGTATGTGTGTGTGTATATATATATGCGTCTGTTGTGTTGTTTTTGATCGAAAGTCAAAATGTATCTCTTTATTTATCGAATATATATTCATTCATCCAAACTAAGATCAGAAAGATCAAATGAAATGTGATCATAAATCAGAAACAAGAAGAGCATCCCAGATCATGTCCATATCCAAAGATGGAATTTTACTGAGCTGGACCCCTTCTCCGGAGTCTGGCGGCACCCCTGCGACCGCCGCCAGTCCACCTCCCACCATCGAGGTATCCGAATCATTAGTCTTCGTATTCAACATCCCAAGAGATATGGCTTGCAACTTTGATTCAAGCAGAGCCGCGGTGTTGCCATTTATCGAGTTAGCTTTCAATTGGTTCTTTAGATTCGGGAAGTTTAGGTGCGCGCAGTCGCCTCTTAGCAAATACGCAGCCGTATCGTATGCAACAGCGGCTTCTTCGGCCGTCTCAAACGTCCCGAGCCATACCCTTCTCCGGTTCCGTGGTAACCGAATTTCAGCCACCCATTTTCCCCAATGCCTTTGCCTTACTCCTCTAAATAACTTCGTGGGCGAACAAATTCTATTCTGTTCGAATGTTGTATTACGAACCCGTTTTCCGGTATACTTCATCGGCTGAGCTTTGGTCGTGCTCAGCCAGTAATGATAACCGGTGTGGTTCACCGAGTTCTGGTCGATCTTGAACCAATCTCCAACCGGCTGCAAATTGGGTTCGTTCGAAAGCAGAGTAAGGTTCGGAAAGCACGGAGTCGATGATGGTTGCCGGAATGATTCAAGAAAGTCTGGTGGAATGCAGATGTCACCACCATTTGGTGTCAAGAAAGAGCAGGATGATGTCGAACCACCACCGCCGCCGCCATGAGTGATGGGGTCATCCTGACAGTTTGAGACATCGGAATCGAAAAAAGTTTGCGACCACCCTTCTGTGGTTTGATGAAAATAAGAAGGAAGTTTTGGAAGAAAGTTGTGATCCTCCATTGAAATAGATGGAAGGTTCAAAATGGTGCAAAAATTTGAAGACTTTGTGGTTTATATATAGAGAGCTAACAGCTCCCTACCTTTATATGTATTTTTACATGATAACAGAGCAGGTATTCTATCTTCATTTAGCGTCTAAATTATACTCTCTTTTGTTTAAAAAGTATGTTTTATTTCTATATATAATTTAAAAAAGAAATTTAGGCAAAAAACCGGATTACTGATATTCTCAACTGGTTTCATATAGAACCCGTTTTTGATTACATCAATGTAAAAGAACATTTTTTAACTCACTCGATGGCTGAGACCTATTGAGAGACGGGATCGAACTTGAAATCTGTATTTTATTTGAATAAAGTGACTCGACTCTTTTGACAACTGAGCCACAAGTTGTAAAGCTAATTTAAAAATTAAATTTTATTTAATTAAAATCAAGTTTTATAATTTAATATGCTGCTTTTAACAACTTCCCCACGGAGCTCATCCGTGGTCACTATTCATATGCTCTCTTTAAACCAATTGAACTTTGACACGTCATCTTCTACTTCAAGGTTGTGCTTTATATGGTTTTTTTCAATCCCACATTTATTCATACCATTTCTTTTTATTAACCTAAATATTCAATCATACCACTGGAGATTTTCCTGACTGTTCTTTAGTATCTCTTTAATTACTCGAGATACATGTCAGTTGGCCTGGACATCTATTATTAAAAAAATTGGCTTTCTTTTTTCCTGTGGTTAGCATTTTATACTCTTTAATGATAGCGACTTCATAAAACTCCCCATCCACTAGAAACTCAAAGGATGATGAAATTAACAAAACAGTTCGACGTTTATATTACAGTTGACTCGAATCTCGTTTACTCAGTTGATCAAAAATTAAACATTATGATCAGTACTGTAGTACGTATCATTTGCAAGGTAAGGATACAAATTGTCAAAATCATACAAATATATTTTTTATAGAACAGATCTTAACTGATAAACTAGCTGATACTTTAGTGATGTTTAATAAAAGAGAATGCTACATAACAATGTAAAATGACCTAAAAAAGCATATATGGAGAAAAAAAACCCATAAAATTTATTAAAATGTTGATACGTTACTTAAAAAGTTTTTCAAAAAATTAGTTTATGATTAATCAAACAGAACTTTTATCTATACTATATTATAAAGCATTTGACAAAAACTCTTAAAAACCATTTTTATGCATAAAATACTGTTTATTTATGCATATTACTTAAAATTCAAGAGCACAAGTAATTGTGCGTAAGTACAACTTATTAAAACTTCATGTTTGAATTCATGTAACTAACTGTAGATAAACATAATTAAATAGAAGATAATCATCTCATTTTAAATATAAAAAATCTAAAATATAATTAAGATAATCATTAAGTTTTAACAAAATACTTAATTATTATCTTTATAAAAATTATATTATTAAACCAAAAATAAAAAAAATGAATTAGAGAAATACAAAAAAAATGATAAATTTTAAATAGTTAGTTTGATAATAATATCAACATTCTCTTTCAATTTTTTATGGTATATCTTCATATTTAGATTTTATTTAAAAATAAACACATTAGTTTTCTCAAAACCACATAAAACTGTATTATAACATCAACTGAGACAAAAAACCAAAACATTAAAATTAATATATATCTTGCTACATTGTGCAAGTACCCTTCTAGTATTCATAAATAACATTGTTATAATTGTTATTGAATGTCTTAATCAAGAGCTTAATGGCTTTTGAGATGTGTTTGGGTCATATTGCAATTTTGGGAAGGTTGTTGGCATCCATAAAGCCCCCACCCTTCACTTTAAAAATATATATATATATATATATATATATATATTTATTTAAAATTTTATAAGTCTTATTTATATAATTGAATTTAAAAATGATTTTGAGACTACTTTATATAATATGATAAAGTAAAAATAAAGATAAGATTAATAAATAAATAAAATACAATATAAAAATGGTATAAATAAATGGTGCCTTAATTCATCATTTAACTAAAAACAGTATTTTTTTTGAAACCGTAGAAAAAATGTCATCAGAAACAACTTTCGTCCGAATTCATGAAAGATCAGACTTTGATGAATCGAGATTGCGTTCATCTGTCTTTCCACTTTCTTTAACAGTAGGTGCATGAAACGTAACTTTAACATAAGTACATGTTATGTATAATATTCTTTCCGAGCTGGACCTACTCATGTTAACAACTGAGGAAAAACACGGGAAAAGAAATAAGTGTGGATACCACAGAAGAATTGTATTTCCATGTTTGTACATATTTAGGTCGACCAGATTTATTTAATCTTTTACTGGTTCTTAACAATTGTTACATATAATTCCATATACAGTAGTAGCTTTTCTTGTCGTGAATCGCTTTTGTTTTTCCCTTTGGATCTGACTCATCCCGTACCATATATATCAACAAGACAACATTACCCACCGTTAGATCACTTTTCTAAAAAAACTCGAAAAACATATCCAAAACAAAGTTCTGTTATTAGTTTTTCGAACAAAGAATGACAAGAATAATATTCAGATCCAATACGTTTAGTTTATAACAAAAGTCAGTTTTAAATATATATCATTTATTACCCTTTAAAAGAATTTATAAATTTATGGACTTTATTGTCAGAGGCAGATTTAAGAAGACTGGACAGAGTGCGCACACTTGTTCTAATATGTTGATGCAAAGAAAATCTTCTATTAACCACAAGGGTGGTGCCTTACTGAGTAAATGCTTACAGACAACAGTCACCACCTTCATTTACCTTATCGGCTAATATTTTAAACCATTGAAATGAATTATTAGTAAACGTCTCTTACCTAGTAAACACTAACAGAATAAAAACCCTCTCTCTTACATACTAGATAAGATTCTCAGTTCTTATCAGTTATTATTTTTAACTAGTAAAATAAAAATGACATCCAATAAACACTTACAGAGAATAACGTCTTATAACGTAAATTAATCACATGAAAATTACGTCACACCAGCCCATCATTTTCATCATGCTGTCCACTGAACGTTACTAAAAACAGCATTGGGTGCGCTTTTTGGATTATATTAACACATTATCCTATAATTAAAAATTAAAAATTAAAAAATCATTTTCAACACAAGAATTAAATTTTGTGGCCCAAAACCACGAGAGGATTAGGTACACAAAAGCAAAAGTAATCGTAACAAAATAGGAGATGCTCGATGATCGCCACGTGTCAAAATGTTTGCGTCCCATAGGTGTTACGCCACCCATAGCTTTTTGAGTAACGAGAATTCCAGCACTTTACACGTAAACCACATTGTTTTATATTACAATTTTCTTTTAAATTTTAATTTTAAAATATTGACCGAAATAATTTATCTATTTAATCATTACTTTTTGTTTTTTTTTTTAATTTTTTTTTAATCAGAGTTTAATTTAAACGTATTATATATTTATTAGAAAAGTACTTGTGCAATGCAGCAAAACACATATCGATTTTAATATTCTATTTTATTATTTGTTTATGTCGATATTATAATACGATTTTATGTGTTTTTAAGAAAACAATAATGATTTAATTTTTAAATAAAATATAAATTTAAAGATATCATAAAAAATCTGAAAAAAAATATATCAATATTAATATCAAATTAACTATTTAAAAATTCTCATTTTTTATGTAATTTCTTTAATTTATTTTTTTATTATAATTTAATTTAAGTTTAATAATGAAATAATTTATTTTTAGTTTACTAATATAACATTTTATAAATATAATAAATAAATATTCTGTTATAACTCAATGATTATTCTAATTATATTTTAAATTTTTTATATTTAAAATGAGATGTTTATCATGTATTTGATTATGTTTATCTGCAGTTAGTTACACGAATTCAGATATAAAAATTTAATAAGTTGTACTTGCACACAATTTACTTGCAATCTTGAGTTTTAAGTAATATGCATTAATAAACAGTAATTTACGCATAAAAATGATTTTTAAGAGTTTTTATTAAATACCTTATAATATAGTTATAGTATACATGTGAATTTTATTTTTAGATTAAAAAAAGAAAATAATTTTCTACGTAAATTTTACGTAAGGATCCAAGAGTAAATTACATAAATGGTCCCTGTGGTCTCTTGCAACTCTAGTTTTAGTCATTTTTGCAAAATAAGTACCCAAGCCACTCTCGCCTGATAATTTCTTTGCACTGAAGTTTCGTGAGCCTAACGGAGGTTAAATTTTTCGTTAACTAAAGGGTATTTTAGGCTTTTAATTATTTTATTTAATTTTCTACTAAAAAATTCGAATATATAACCCAATTCTCACCCCCTTGTCCCTCTTCCTATTCCTCAAACCCACGACAAACACCGACATATCTGGCATTCTCCAACCTACGACATATTTGACATCCTTCAACCCATAGACATCTTCGGCCTCCATTGATCCTCTAACGCTCTCCATGGCTTCCTCCTTCATTCTAAAACTATCCTCACTCCTTCCCTCATGACTGGACCCTACCCTTTTTCTATTTTCCGTCCACCACCACTATACATGTGTCTTCATCAGCATAACCCTACTACCACCCTCGTATTCCTCACCACGATCATTTGTGTGTGTATGTGTGTGTCCTCTCTCTCTCTCTCTGTGGAAACTTCTCCAAACCTATGGTCTTTCCCCAACCCCTTTTTCAGTCTCAGCAAACCTAGAGGCTTCTAATACGACCCCTCCTTCCCTGTAACCCCATATTTGTCCATCTCTCCCTCACATGCCAAATACAATTATCGTCCTATACACAACAAAAATTAAAGATTAACCGCCGACATTCAAAAATGAGCGTAGACAGAGGAATTGCAGAGGGCAAGAAACCTTTCACTCGCAGAACTGAATTTCCAAACAAAAATAAAAGAAAGGTAAGAAAATTTGAAGATAAATACGAAGAATGAGATGAGATGAGATGGGTGAGGGTATGTGTAAAGCTACATTATAAATCAACTACCAAGAGGGTTTCTAACTTCTTTTTGAACGATTAAGAGATCCGCTGACGTGTGTAAAAAAGACAATAAATAATTTCTAGGTTTAATTCAAAATTGACAACAATTTCTCTAAGCATATTATGAATCTTCTGTGACAAATGTGGCTTATGACTTATCACATGGGTTTCGAAATCTTGTCATGGCTTAAAACAATTATACTGGAAAAATAATGCAAGTGGGTCGGCGTCGGAGAAGATGAGCAGAAAGCGAGAAGGAGCGTCGGGAGGGCGAAAGGAGCCAAAAAAATTGTCCGTTGTTAGATCTTCTACGATCACAAGAATAATTAATATGGTCATTGATACTGATCATTAAAGTTTGTATACATCATAGTTGATAAATTATAATTTTTAATGTTGTAATGATTTAATTAAACAATTAAATTTTTTTAATTCCTTGTTTGGAATTATTATTATATATAAGATGAGTTGGAGAGATAATGTTGTTCTAAACAACTCCATTAATTTTGAGATTAAATTACTCCAATAGTTTTTCATAAATTGTATATCTTAATTAATCTTCCTTATTGGATCCACAACATTTAATGGTTTTTATTCTTTATTTATAATTGATTAATTTACTAACTAATAATGAAATATATCGAGTTTTGTACTCAGGGGTGGACCTATAAGGTCAAAGAGGGTCGTATGTAAGAATGTTCATAGGTTGAGTTGATCAGGTTGAACAGCCCAACTCAATGTTGATGAGTTGGAAAATCTCGATGTAACCCAAATCAAACCAAAGTGCAACCCAACCCAACCGAAAATATATGGGTTGGTCAGGTTATTCAGGTTGATACTTTGGTATACAAAATATTCTTCTAACCTTAAATATGTTATTTTATATAATCTACTTATAATTTATTTTTCGTCTTCAACCACTTGCTACCAATTTATCCATGCTTTTAAATTATAAATATGTCACATTCAATTAATTTTCTCAATTTGCATATATATATATATATATGTATATATATATATATATGTGTGTGTGTGTGTGTGTATATATATATATACATATGTATCTATGTGTGTGTATATATTTATACCTACACACACATATGTGCGAAGGATTGTATGATAAGGGGAGTTATGATGATAAGCGTAATTCGGTGTGATGCGCCTCATTAGTGTTGACATTCTATTAGGATAATCCATCGGTAAAGATCTCAGCTTAGGATTCTCACCATAACTTCTTTTCTAACCGGAACCTAAGTACCTAACTCTCTCTCTCTCTCTCTCTCTCTCTATATATATATATATATATATAGATTTGGGATTACGTGAGACTATCATGTTTTCGTGAAACCCGTAAGACCATTTTTTTACACTTGAAACATTATAACAAAACGTTGTGAAGGTAACCTTTATAGTGCTTTTGCTGTGAAGGTTCCTTTTTTACCTTCACAACGTTTTGCTATGAAGTTTCAAGCGTAAAAAAATGGTCTCACGGGTCTTATGAAAACATGCTAGTCTCACATGAACCCAACCCTATATATATATATTCACAGTTATTGAACATACATACAAATGAACTAATTACATAGAAATAGAGAATATATTAAAAACATATGTATACCAAGAGGTAACATTATAAACTCATTTGGAAACAAAGGGAAAAAAATGGGTGAAAGACTCGACCAAGACCTTTTGCAACACCCGAGAAGAAAATTGTAAATTAGTTTTGGGCTAAAAAGGGAAGAAGATGGAAGTTGAAGGGGGTCAAGAGAGAAGTGTAGGGGCTTATTCTGTCAACATTCCAAAATTTTGAATGTCATCGTCGATGGTTAAATCCCATTTCGGCGGCAGTGGTTAGGAGTTCAAAATTCAAATTGGGGGCTGTTGTAGCCCATTTTGACTGAAACAAAACTACAGAACTCATCGACTCTCACAGTGAACAAAATTTGGTTTTGAAAGAATTAATCGAGAATCGAGTGAGAAATCATCGTCATAGCGAACTAGGGCTAGTTCAAGGAGAAATCGTCGATTCAAGGTAATTTCTTAACCAAACTTGGTGATTTTTATATGGTTGAACTCGGTTTTGGTTTCTACTTCGAACGGCGTGGAGTTTTAGGGCCAATTATGGCCCGTGAGTGGTGAATTTTGAGCGAAAACCCGCTATTGCGGCGAGTCCCAACAGTGGGGTTAGCAAAACCTCATGCTTAATGGTACTGTTAGCTAGTACCATGATTTCATACAAGAGAAACGATGAAAAACGACCCGAAAACAGGTTAATTTGAGTCGAAACCGAAAGGAATCGTGTGGGGAAGTGCTGCCAGGCGGGTCGGGTTCAAATAGGGTCTGGACCGAAAGTACTGTTTGGGTCGGACTAATCAGACTTCAGAGTCAGAGTCCCTTTGTGGCTGCTGGATTTGTTGGTTGGCTGTTTGGGCTGTTTTGGTTGGAAATGGAATTAACATAAGGAGCCCAATTACTATCTTTGGGTTGGGTAGTGGGTAGGGTACAATTAACTAATTAATTAATTAAAATATTGTTTGAATTAATTAAATTTATACATTTTTGTTATGTAATTACTTATTTTTTAAGGGGTAATGAATCATTTGATTTAGTAGTTGGATTAAAATACCGTAAAAATGGTTAATTTATCGTATGAGTAGATTAAATCGCGCGATGAAGGGTTTAAAGGAAAGAGATGGTTCACGTGCAAGAAATTTTGAAGGACCAAAGCGAATGAGTAGAAAACAACAGTCGACCTGTTATCATTCATAGAAAAATCGACATGAAATGTTGACGTCCTAAGCAAAGAGATCGTTGGAGTGCAAGAGATTTTGAAGGACCTAAATATGAAGGCGAATGAGCTAAAAACAACAGAGTTTAAAAGACAACTTTGTCGACGTATGTTATCATTGAGAGATGTATTACTATTAAGAATGTGGACAATTATTTCGAAACAAAGGAAGTATATATGTTATTAAGAGATACATTAAAATATGAGCTAATAAGTTAGATGACAATGTAAAATAAATAATTATCTGAAAAAACAATACTTAATAGCTTTTATGTAACAAATCCAAAGTATCTATAAATTTATGAGGATAATTAATTAATTAATTAAATGTAGGTATTTAAATTAAAACAAAGCAAAGAGAGATTCTTCTCTCCATTCCTTTTGTAGCTTTACCAACACACACACAATCTTTTTTTTGTCCCTTGACTCAAAAGCACTTGACGCAAATGGGAACACTGTCCAAGGTGGTGGTGGCCGCATTCACGGTGGTTCTACTCCTTCTCCACGGCGGACTTACGACGGCGACATGGTGTGTCGCCAGAAGTGACGCCACCCAAGAAGCTTTACAGATCGCACTCGACTACGCTTGCAGCGCCGGAGCCGATTGTGCGCCATTGCAGCTATCTGGTCTCTGTTTTCTTCCGAATACCATTCAAGCTCACGCTTCCTACGCTTTCAATAGTTATTATATGCGTAAATCAATGGCTCCCGGATCTTGTGACTTTTCCGGCACCGCCACCGTTGCTAAAACTGATCCCAGTTATGGATCTTGCGTTTATCCACCGTCGCCGAGGTACGTATGCACCATCATGCACCATTGTTTTTTTAAGTTCGTATGTAAACCAGAAACCAAACCGAGACAAGCTTTTAACGAGCTACTCGAGCTCGAGGATAATATTTATCGAGTTAGGGTCGACATCAAACATAAATAAAGCTTGGTTCACTTTACGATTCGAGCTCCATAACATCAATGTTCGACTCAACTCGTTTGAAAGCTGGATTAAACTTTACGAGTAGAGCCGAGCTTAGTCATTCGAACATACGCTTTTTTAAAGCCAAACATATTCATATGCTTAGGTATTATATAATCAAAATATAAAAATTATCAAGTTTGAGTAAATAAACGAGTTAATCGACCTTGAATTCGAGCTTATAAACGAGCATCAAACTCGAGCTGAGAGATTGAAAAAATATTCGAGCTCGAGAGCTTGAATAACGTTCGACTCGGTTTGTTTCCACCCCTACCGTCAGGGACGGACCCATAAATTTTTCAATTGGTGACACCATTTGACTATAATAAATATGAGATTAAAAGCTAAAAACGAAGAAAATAACAGGGATTCAGACTCGAGTTTGGCACGCAACAAATAATTTATATATAGTTCGATTGGATTGCCACCATCTTACGGCGGTGTAATTTCAGTACTGCAGGTGGGACGACACCTATTACGACTCCGGTTTCCGGCACTGTTCCGCCACCGCCATTTGGAGGTGGGTTAACTCCGATCGGCAATGGTATGGTACCCACATTATCGAGCCCACCGATTTCTAAAGCTTTCCGGGAATACTCTGTTTCAAGAATCACGGTGGTGGTGTTGATCTTTCAATCGATACAGATTTTGTCTGCATAAATTGGTTAAATTTAGAGACGTAGATGATTATTTAGCACAGTTTTGGTAACACCATTTTCAAAGCTTGAACACCACTTTACTTTCTGGATGCAATCAAGATGAAACTGAAGAAATTTGTACCAGATTCACTGATATTTTACTGAAATATTTTGAGTATACTACAACAAAAGATGAGTCATGGGTGTTATGTTCTATCTCAGACCTAAGGATTTCAATCCGTATAAGTTATACAGATCAAGTGAGAACCGTAAATAATTTGAGAACCAACTATTTTACAAGCTATTCATAATGAATATCCATCAAAAATCATGAATAATTCATGAATAGGTGGTTTTCATATTCTTGGAATATTTATGGTTCTCGTTTAAACCCTGTGCTTATAAATCTGGCTGTATAACGGGATTCATTTTGCTGATCTCCACCGCCTAGTAGTATCTTTAACAGGGCATCGTTCAGGTTCCCGAACGATAAAAATTTGATCTCCGGCCTCATTGTACATATCTTGATTCCGGTGCCATGTCCATAGAGCATGTGTTTCATTCTTCACCTCAAGAATCCCGTGGCCGAAGCTACTTTCTCTATACGCGCTGTATTCCGGCTGCCGATCCCAACAGAACTTCCCGGCTGCCGGCCCTGATGTGAAATTGGTGGCACAGAAGCCGCCCATGAATGAATCCGGTGTGGTGGATGGTTCAGGGCAGTTACCAGGTTCGTCGGTATGTTGAATCGCCATCTTTTCTCTGTTACCCCCGTCTCCTACGGTTATGTGCACCGGACCACATGGATCCAAAGTGTAGTTATACACTCTGTTCGATCTCTCGTACGCATGAACCTGCAAATTTTTACCGATTGAGTAGTCAAACACGACCGTTCGTAGATTATTTATCATAGAACGCTTAAGGTTATGTTTTGCAAACCGGCTGATGAGCCAACTGTTCGCTAAAAAACCATTTGTTGGCTAATAATCTAGCAGATAAGCTAAGATGACAGTGTGAAAGAAACCCTTGGATGTTACAACAAATTTGATTTTATAGTACGCCTAAAATATAGTAGCGTCCGAAAAAATACATCATAGGACTTAAGTTTATAGGAACAAACATAAAAGCGTCTTACCTAAAAGTGTTACAATAGGTTTATAGGACGTTTTTAGGCGTTTTAACAAGATTTTTAGAACGTTTTTAAAATAAAGTGTTGTATTAACTATTTTACACGACACTCGTTTATTTTAGAATCATCCTATGGCCTAAAACACTTACATGCCCATTGAAAATTAGATCGACACCAGCATCGTATAGTAGTTCTTCCATGGCTACCCGCATGCATTCTACTTCTTTATAATGAGAAACGTAGGTGTTGTACCACGGCGGATGCCAGACGCCAATGAGCCAAGGAGTCACTTCCCTGTCGACATTCGCCAAATCGCTCTGCAACCACTTGTATTGATCCGCTGTACGAAACGGTTAAATCGTCACGACCCCATTACTCAACCATAAAAAGAATCGAAATTCATAAAGAAGATTCGGTTTTTACATGATTTATTGTATGCGGTGTAGCCACCGAGCATTAGGAAGTGAATGCCTCCGGCATTGAAAGAATAGTACATTGTGGATTTAGATCCACTTTCAGTAGATGGAAATGCGAATCGTGAACTGTAAGCTGCAAATGTCGTGCCTTCAACTTGTTCTTCGATTTCGTGGTTACCTTCAATTGCCATTATCGGTACTTTAGATGTTAATGGCTGCATATACCTGAAATTTTTTACACCATTATCGTTCAGGGTCTTTTGAATAAACGACCTTAAATGAGTTTTTAGCTCAATGATCTTAATCCGAACTGCCCCCGGTTTAGCTCAATGACCTTAATCTGAACCGGCCCCGGTTCAAAACAGTCTGCCCTCGTAAAAGCTTGAATGCAAAACCAGTTTTCGAAGAAGGTCATTGAGCTAAATAGCCCGTATGGTTCATCAACATCTTCAAGAACAAAAACATATGATTTGGAGTATCAAGATTCGATCAAGATTCAAACTTTTACCTTCCCCAGAAATCCCAACGTGGTTGATAGGTCTCATGGATAGGAGTGTTTGCAAACGAACAAGAATAGCAATCCGAACCCGTGCCATTAGTTAGATACAAGTTAGCATAAGTTGCATCTCCTACAAGTAGCAGAAGATCAGGGTGGTTCTTGATCAGATGGCTCACGGTTGATGTCGAATTATACGTAAGACCAAGATCACCCACAATTCCGATTCTCGGGTAACTTTTGGGGCCGGAAACAGGCATAGTTTTGAACCGAAAAACATCACTCATTGCTCCAATCGAAGGATCTCCACATCTATAATAATAGATGGTATCTGGAGACAATCCTGCAAGATTCATACACCAAGATTCAAGATTTCTTGAAGAACTTCATACCAAGATTGCATACTACTGAACATAGATCAAGAACCCGAACGAAACAGATCCTCAACACGAAAATTTCGAATCTAACCTGTAAGTTGGACATGGTGGATGATACCAGAAGTGTAGTTTTGAAGACCTTCAAAGGGGTAAAGCTGATTGTAAATGAGAGAATAGCCCTCTGTTTTCTGTGTTTGTGTCTTCAAAGATTTCACTTTCCCATATTCTACAATACTACCTACAGTATGAGGATTTAATGGCTTTATATCATCCCCAATTTGGTATTCACCTGCATTTTCACAAATTTTTTGATCATTTCACATAAAACTACAACAATTTTCATGATTTTGATTTCTTGAAATGTTGTGAATTCATCAAGATTTGCCAGTCTTAATCAAAACCCTATTCGTAATCACAGGAAATGGACCAAAATAGCCGATCTCCCCAACGCAGGAATTTGAATCCTCGCGCAGAAATTTGAATCTTAAGAAGAAAGTTGAAAAATAAGGATTCAAATTTGAATCTTAAGAAGAAAGTTGAAAAATAAGGATTCAAATTTCTGCGTAAACTTTGGCTGAGAGGCCGTGAAAAGCGGCTAAAAATGAATTTGGTTGATGGTATTCTCCTGCATTTTCATAATTTTTTTGATAATTTCTCATACAACTATCACAGTTTTCATGATCTTGATCGTCTTCACGAAAGTGAAAATGCGATTTATTCTTGAAATACTGTGAATTCATGATGATTTGCCAGTTCTAATCAAAACCCTATTCGTAATTTTTGAAGAGAAGTTACCTGTAATCCAAGAAACCCAAATGGAATCATGGGTGGTGGAAAGAGAAATCGAAATCTGTTCAGGTTGAAACCCTTTAACAGTCCTCCGAACACGAGGGTCATCGGACGGCAAGTCAACTGCATGCCCACGAAACCTTTCGTCCAGTGGCACCGTCACCGGCGTAAAAGGTCCGTCGAGGGTCGTCGGAATAATACCAGAAACAAAACCCACAAAAATCAAGAAAAAACAAGAAAACCCAATTGGAATCACACTCCCTCCTCCTCTCTTGACTACCATTTTGCTAGATTAATGGGGGAATGTGATGAGAATTCGTGTTAATAACCATGGATGGATGGCATATTTTAGGGAATATTATTGGGAATCTTTTTGAAGTTGCAAAAATTGACACTTTTTCTATGATTTGGTGGACCAGTCAAGCCAGCAAATTGCAAAATGGGATTTTGTCTTCTTCCGATTTCACGGCGAGACAAGTGGCGGTGGCGTGGCGGAGAAGGGTGGCGTTTGAAATCATCGCCGGTAGCGTGGCGTTTGAGTTGTGTTGTGATGTTGTTATTGGAAAAAAAAATGGATCTTTTGTGAAGCAACAATCATTTGTCTCATTTTCAACGCTTTGAGATCGTTCCTTTCACAAAAGATAACGTTTTGCAATTGAAAACTGAAGTTTAAAGATATTATTTTTAAACATCGAAGAAATATATATTTATTAAATAATTATTATTTATGTCGATGTATAGTTTTGATTGGATAATACTGTTTTCGTTTGGATTGAACAGTGTCAACTACTTGTACATTATCTTGAAACACGTCTTCGATTGTTCATCGAATGGGGCGAAAGTGTGAACTCTCAAGTTGATTTTTTTAAAAAATATTTCATTATTAATCGATGAAGATCATTGATTTTGTCTTATTACGAGTGACGTTGTTTTCTTAGGTAAAGCAACAATCTTTTAATTTAAGATAAAAAAAAATGAAAGAAACGATAAATATTAAGACGGGATATTTGCCATTATCACTACTTGTTTATACAATTATCCTCTTTTTATGACATCGAACTTCAACTTCTAATGACCACAAATCGATTTGATAGTGACAGTCAATCGTAAGTTCATCAGCAACCAAGTTTCATAATTATTGTTTAATTTTTAGTCAATCGTTGAATAATAATAATAAACCCATTAAAATTCATTATATCTATATTATATTATAAAGCTTTTGATAAAAACTTTTAAAAACCATTTTTTATGCGTAAAATACTATTTATTAATGCATATTACTTAAAACTCAAAATTACAAGTAGATTGTGGGTAAGTACAACTTATTAAAACTCCATATCTGAATTCGTGTAACTAACTGTAGATAAACATAGGATAATTATCTTATTTTAAATATAAAAAATCTAAAATATAATTAGGATAATGATTGAGTTCTAACAGAATACTTTATTATTATCTTTATAAAATGTTATATTATTAAACCAAAAGTAAATTATTTCGTTATTAAACTTAAATTAAATTACAATAAAAAAATAAATTAAAGAAATTACATAAAAAATGAGAACTTTTAAATAGTTGATTTGATATTAACATTGATATAATTTTTTTTCAAAATTTTAGGATATCTTCAAATTTATATTTTTTAAAAAATAAAATCTATATTGCTTTTTTAAAAACATATAAAGTCGAATTATAATATCGACAGAGACAAATAATAAAATAAAATATTAAAATCGAGATGTGTCTCGTTGCATTGCACGAATACTTTTCTAGTATGTATAAATAAATATACATGTTCTCAGATTTTTTTTATGATTCTTAATTAAACTATATAAAAACAAATTTAATATTAATTTGATAAAAGGTATCAAGAGATTAGAATAATGGCCATAAGCCTATTAGAAATACTGGGCCTTGGGCCTTTGTATAAGTCCATCAAATCAAACTAGCAAAAGCCCATATTTGTGTGTTTGTGAAACAAATAAAATAACCCGACCCGGTTCACATGCCTTTCGTGTCTTCTTCCTCCCTTGCGATTCACGAACACAAACGAGAACACGTTGATGCTATGTTCTTAAAAGAAATAAAGGAAAGAAAACGGAAAAATTAGTGATGGGTTTCTTCGAAAACTTTTGTTCGTGAAAGGAAAGGAAATGAATTGGAAATATTATTAAAATTACGAAACTATCCAAACATTTTATTGATATTCATTTGATTGAATCAGCCGATTAGATCGGTTTGAAACATTTTTCCAAGCAGCTCTGTTTGAGGTTTTCACCAATTGCATTCTTCGAGTTTTTGCAAGCGGTTTAGGAGAAGTGACTGTTTTCGGATTTCCTTTGGCCTAGAATTTTGCTTTTATGAAGGGTCGTAGTAACTAGGGGAGGACCCATTTCATTGGATATGGTGGCACAAGCCATCACTATGTTCCTCGTTTGTAAACTAAAAAAATTTAGCCTCGTGGAAAGGTATAACCATATTGTAATGTTGGGTGTCACCATATTGTAATACCTCGTTTTCACATGGTATCTCTCTTACGTCGTGGATCCTAAGATTGTCCAAGCAACGTCATGTTGGGTCTTTTCTATGACAATCGTGCATATGCAGTTCTCAAGTAATTAAATCGAGCCATGACGTGTCACAAGCTTAATGTCATAATGTGGCGTCAAACACGAGCCTTGAGCCAGTACGTGCTACGACAGTCATTTAGAACACTGCTAAAAATCCTCCTTGTCTTGAAACAAAAAAATCGATTTAATACAAATATTTGATTATTAATTAAATAATCATCTTTCTGTGCTACATAAAAGTTTCAATTTGGTATGTACGATCCTTTATTTGAGACTCGGTTGTTAATATTTTCATCATCTTATCTCATATTTGCTACTAAAACAACGATACTTCAAATAATATAACAAACTAAACATATTTGCACCGAACCAACAAGAAATCTTATTAAAACACTTTGACTCTACAAATCATCCTCAAACTCATGAAAACATTAAAACTGATATAAAAGAAGTGCATACGCGCGCGCGCGTGTGTGTGTATATATAAAAAGAGAAGTCCAAAAAATGGAAGTAACTTTCACATTTCGAGTGATTAAGTTTATAAATTTCTTTTAACAAATAAATTATTGAACTTACGGAAATGAAACAAATAAATCCTTGAACTTATTTTTTTTATTTACTTTTTTACAGACATCTGTTTTAAACATTTTGTTTTCGAAGAACCTTTGTTGGTGCCTTTAATTACCCCCAAAATAAAAACAAAAAGAAGATGAGTATATCAAGATTTGCAGTGGACGTGACCCGACCATTTGGCGAGTGTTCTTGTATATGGATTTCATTCATGATGTTCAATCAGTGAATAGTTGTGCTTAGAGCTCATAATATCGGTTGGGGAGAAGAAAAAAAAGTTGTCTTATAAGGTAATGAATACCTTCTTTTTTAGACGCATATTAAAATCAGGAGTCTAGGTGCAGACAGAACGGACAATATCTGATACGGTTAGTCTGTGATGTTATGTGATCATAGTTTCAAATCATGATATATGAGTTTCAAGCTCTACCCATAATTACTCGCGTATGCTTTGATTAATTTGTTTCTATTACTGCAAGGGAAAATACTAGTAAAAGCAGGGGTTGTGCCAAAATAGAAGTACATGAACTGAAATTAAGTCAAGGAAGTAGAACAATTTATGCATTCATCATTCTCAATCTCTAATGTTACATTTGAGCTTTCAATCAATATTTTTGGGCAAATTAGATCACAAACTGACCTTATTCAAATAAAAAAAAGTTTTAGGTTAATTGGGCTAGAATTAATGCATTCTAACATCTTGAATTGCCTACTACAAACACACATGCACACACACACACACACATTAATTGTGTTGCACCTAATCAATCACTTTCTTGTAACGCTTGCGAAAGAAAGCTGATCCGTATGTGGCGCAGAATAGCTCAATGAGCAGAGGGAATTGTATTATGGCAAACAGACCCACTGGAATACTTGTTATTATAACAAGAGGAATTGCAATCCAGTTGCATTTATCTTGAAGCAAAAGTGCAAGAGTTGCACTGAATGTGATCATGGTAGCTGCTAATGACACGAACAAGGTGAAAAGTCCACCCATCAATCTCCTTGGCAACACATGAAGGAAGTCTGCTTCTCCATAGCGTGAAGTAAGTATTCCTAAGAACAGCAACGCCGAAGTAGCTGAAGTAAATAACGCAGTGGCATCTGATATGAAAAAAAGCATATATGCTATTTTTCTTTCATCTTCTTTTCCACCTGGGAGCGTGAAGACAGCTGCAAAAGCCATTGTCACTATGAGTGTTGCTACAACGCTACTTGCAGATGCAGTGTCTTTCATCCATTCTTTCCCTTCTTTAAGCAATTCTTTATGCTCTTCAGTAAAAAGCATTCTAGGAGTTTTATTGTCTTTGTTACGACCATCTCTCAATGAAGGTTCTACAAAAGCTTCAATTTCCTGCACGAATTAATATAATATGCATGCGTGTTAATTGTTATGAAGTAACTACACCATGTAGATCCATCATTATATTTAAAAGATTTGAGAAATTACAAGGTCAAATTGCTCGACTCCGTTCTAGTTTTAATAATTTGGGTACAAAGTATGTATTTTGAAAACATTCATTTTAGTTTCCAATTAAAATATGACATGAAAAGCATACACACATATCTTTTACCTCATGACTTTAAAATGTTGACTAATCAACTTTGACAAGTCATCAGGTAAAAAGGGATACATTAATAATGCAAATGCAAAATAGAAATCAATCTAAAGTATGTTACGTTTTCGTTGAATTTGCCTTTTGGGAAATTAAGGTGGTAGTTGATGCCTCTTGAAAAGGGACAATAATTACTGCCATCACAAGGGTTTATATATACCTCAAACCATTTAAGCTCACGCTGCATTTGTAGAGCTGCACCGGTTATAGTATTGAGTCGATGAGGTGGGGCCAACTTTGCAGCAATATGTAATACGTTCTCTTTTGTTTTGTTATCAATTTGATTTAATACGACTCCCTTGTAGCTATTCATTTCGTAGACAAGATCATATACTTGTTCTTGGCGTTGCTTGATGGCTTCGTAGAACATATGACGGTGTTCGAAATCGGAACAATACTCAGACCAAATAAGGCTTGGGTATGTTGCTATACACTTCTTAAGTACCTCATAGTTCACAGATTCTACGGCCATAAATATTGTGGATGAAAAGAACGCCGAAGCAACGTCATGGTTGTCCTTTTCTTTCACCATTTCGCAGATGCGGTCTAAAAGTTGCTGGCTTTGTTTGTGTGTTAGCTTCAAATCATAGATTTTTTTGATTGGTGAAGCTACAAATACAAATATATACATATATGATCCAAAGTTATGTATATACAGACGATTGATGACAGACAATTCAGATAAATGTATTAACATACCTAGGTATCGGAACATCCTCTTAATCCATGTTGTAATAGATGTCCATTTGTAGTTATAGTAGGATAATTCATTTCCAGCGTATACAGCTTCCTGAAAAATTAGCTCCAAAAAGATTACACAAAATTATACTACTTTTAATATAGGTATAATTCACAACTCATATATATATATATATATATATATATATATATATATTATAAATTTTGGATCTGTTTAAAACCAAAATTTAAAAAAAAAATCTATATTAATTTATGATTTTAAATAATTATTACATATAATATGAATAAAAATAAAATTGGTATAAAATTCAAGAAATATAATTAATAATTAAATTAAATATTTTTATCAAAATCAATTACTATGATTTTATTGTCTATGAAACAATAAAAAGAATAAATTAAATATATCCTAACTATATTGAATTGTTTACTTGTGGCTTAATGAAAAAACTTTTGGCTTATTCACACAGCCAAGTTAAGGAAATACATAAAATAACAACATATTTTATTCAAACAGATAGAAACATATATATTTATTCTAAAGTATATATAGACATGGTAAATAGTGTTTGGAAAGGTGCATGAAGTAATTAAGATATGGAGTTATATACCACATCATGAGCATATCGTTTTCTTGTCCTCTTCTCATCAACAGATGTCGTGAGTTTACTATGCTTCTCGTCCACATATAACACTTGAAGAATCATCAACCAAATACAATTAATTAAATGGTTATAATTATGGAGTAACAAAATTTGAGAGGTTCAATTTTTTTAATTAGTTTTAAAGTGTAGATGTGTTTTTACATTTATAAATGAGAACATCCAAAAATCCAAGTTTGCGTTCGCTATGAAAAAGTTGTGGTCTGCTAGCCAGTTCTCTCAAAGCTTTTTGTAAGTCATATGGTTTGCTGACTAGGACGCCCTTTGAGTACACATCCAGTAGATTTAATGCTATGCCTGCATACATATACATATACATATATAACAATAAACAACTTTATTAATTTCCAACTTATATATAATTAAACAGTTTGTAAGTTATATAAATGTACCGGGGAATCCAGCATCAATGGCGTTATTAAGTAGAGGGCCGGCAAGCAACGTTTGAGTCTGAATTCTTGATTTGGAAGGGCTTAAAAAAGCACTCACCAACGAATACAAGTATTCAAGCATTTCCTTCTTCCTACCGTACGAGGCAGCATAGAACAACGGTGTAACTCCTTTGTTATTCTCCTGCAAGGCTATCTCTGTAGGTTTGGTAGAATATGAGAGCAATAATTTTGCATCGATCATATTCCCAATCTTAGTAGCGTAATGGAGGGCCGTGTCACCTTCTTCGTTCTTTGCTTCAATCGCATCATTGATCGAGTCAAGATCGTTAGAAAGACTGTCAAGCAGATTTCGGACAAAACGATGGGATTGATTCGTTCCGACGGCTATCATTAGTGGCGTCTCCTTCTGCCAACTGATTGGCTTGGTTCGTAGTTCTGGATGTTTTTGAAAGATTTTACTTATGCTATCCCATTCATCACGAACCACAGCATCGTAAACTTGGATATCGGTTTTTTGGTAGTCGTAAACCATTTTGGTTGAGTTGATTTGATTTGGTATATTCAGATATAAAATCCAACTAGGTTGGATGGCTGCCTACTTATAGATTTATTATGAAGTAAGTTACGGATTTGGTCCCTACACTTTTAAAGTTTTCTTGAATGAGTTTATGCAACTTTCTATTACAAAAAAACCCTTTATGATCACGTGTTTTGGTCCTAGCCAATAACCATCGTTACAAAAATATCCGTTAAGTAACGGTATTTGGTAAATTGCCAATTCCTTTTTCTTATTTTCCCATTTAAATAAACAAAAAAAAATACGTCATATTAATTATTTTATATTACACAAAAAATATACCTTTATCAAATTACCCCCACCCACTACAACAAAACTGATTTTATGGAATAAACAGTGTCCTATAAAAATATTTTATAGGACTTAGGTTTATAAGACAAAAACCAAAAAAACATCGCACTACAAAACAAGTGGCGTTTATAGCCTCTTACTCAATGGATGCTGTTTGACGATTGTTAGTAACAGGGACTAAAACATTTCAAAAACGCATATCGTAAAGGTCGTAATAACGATTATAAAGTCGTCGTCAATCTTTGATCCTTGTTACATATGATTATTATTATAGGTCTTGGTTGTAAACTAAGTTTCTAAGGTTGACTTATAATATACATGATTAATTAATTTAGAAAATAGAATAAGAGGGAATACTTGTTTTTGCATATTTTGAGTTGGAAGAAAGCAAAGGATGTTATATGTCTTTTTCCTTTTCATGTTTCACGAGTTAGAGAGAGAACAAATGCTGATATATCTAAAATATACATTTTAGTTAATTCGGTAGGGTTGGGTTCACGTGAGATCACTCTTTTTTCGTGAGACCATTTTTTACACTTGAAACTTCACAGCAAAACGTACAATATTTTTGCTATAAAGGTCCGACTTCTTTTTTACACTTTAACACCTAATTATGACTTTATTTTACTTGATTTTACACCTTTTCCGATCTTATATTGAGTCTTTTAGTCTTATTTTATGGTGTTACATTCAATGGAGTTAGGATGGAGGAATGATACTGTTTTATGTATTTGGTGAATGAAAAGTTGATATAAGCATTATTGTAGCAGGTGTTTACGTTGGTGCACACTGGACACTGGATATTGTCACAGCTGATTCAATCTCGTTGAATATTTTGAAAAATAAAATTTTGGAGGAGGGCGTCTTCTAGTACTGCTAGCAGAAAATTTTAATAGAAAATGCAACTGAGAGATACTTTAATCTTTTGTATTTAAACATCTTTTATACTAAGACATCTTTTGTATTGTCTATTGGTTAATAATCAATGGTTAATAAACTTTACTTTTGACTCTCACTACAATAAAATCGGGTTTATAGGACACTCCCAAATTGTAAGTGTCTTAATAGACCTCTTTATATGACTTAGTTTATAGGACCAAAAAAATAAAGTGTCCTATCTAATGGTGTTGTATTAAGTTTATATGACGTTTTTTGATGTCGTAATAAGTTTTTTAGAACACTTTTAATATAAAGCGTCCCATTATCAACTTTATAGGACACTATTTGAAAAAAATGTCCTATAAAAACAAGTGTTCTATAAAAAATTGAGTTTATAGGACAATTTCTCAAAAGTGTCCTATAAAGTTGCTAATGTGACACTTTGTATTAAAAATGTCCTTAAAAACTTGTTAAGATGTCCAAAAGCGTCGTATATACTTATTACAACACCTTTAGATAGGACGCTTTATATTTTGGTCCTATAAATTAAGTCCTATAAAGCGGTCTATTGGGACACTTAGAGATTGGGGGTGTCCTATAAACCCAATTTTGTTGTAGTGTCTCATTTCCTAGTATATATACGAGGGGTAATCTTTTGTTTAGTAAGTAACTAGTGTGCAATTGGAACAATTGAGCTTTATCATCAGGAACAAAACTTCATCTAAGCTTTGGATCCTTGCTACTGTGAAATGTTATTTTACAAGTACTTTTTAAGTGTTCTTCGTTATTGTGTGTTGCTACAACAATCTTTCCAGTTTTCTCTTTACTTTTCTTGCATAATTTACTTTCATATCATTTACATTTAGTCATTTTCATTTATGTCATTTATTTTTAAGCACTTACATTCAGTCATGCTAAACTAAATACCTTAGTATGAGTGTAAGTGAATGTTGTGAGATTAAGGTAAGTGTTAGTCGATGATTGTTTTGCTAATAGCAATTTATTTCACTATTCACAAGTGGTATTAATTTTTCATCTGATAATCTTTGACAAATTGACACATGTTATTTTATTCAGATGAGTTGGACTTAAAATTAAGACAACACAAATATTTTTACTAAGTGTGTTATAGAGACTATAAAGAGTCACAATAATCTTATGGGTTGCAAAGTTATGTGGAAAAATAATGTAAAACCTGTACTAGTTTGGGATTGATACATCACCAATTGCACTTCCAACATATGGTTTAATATGCATTTCCATGGAAGGCCGTTCAATCCAGTAGTATTGTAAAGAGCTATTTATGTAGCAACATTCATACACTTCGTTGCTGAAATCCAACATGATCTTGCATCCATACTATCTTTTAATTATTGTTACATTTCAATATTTGGTTACCAACTCTCTCAAAGATATTTACTCTCTGAAGCTTTATTGCTTCCAAAAACCCCTCTCATTTTAAAGTTAACATGCGTGACTCTCTTTGCATTTTAAATATCTGTGGAACGATATTTGATATTTCTTGCCATTATTATTTGCTTTGAACGGTACTTGTAAGTCATGTATACTTGCATGATTTACTTGTTATTATAGCCTTTTGAAGGTATAGTTATCCATACACCACAAACATCTAACAATAGTCTATGTTTTATTCTGTCATGTTCAGTGTACAAACGCACCATAAAAGTCAAAAGTTCATGTTCTTCAGGACCATTGCAACATTTGTTTGACATGTAACTTTGAGGTATTATCAGATTAGTCAATTAAGGTAAGCATAAATGAACCGAATCCTTGTGTCATTGGATGACGTTTAGAATCTCCAATAAAGGGTCCCCACAAACGAATCCCTTACTATTTGCTAATTGAACCACTCTATCACTTTTGTACTCAGACGTTTCAACATCAAGCTTCTTTTTACATTTATATGTTATGATTTGACCTACAAGTTAAAGGGTTCAATTATAACAACATCATTCAATAAATCCTTTTCTTCCAACATTAAGTTTGGCTTCTTTTGGTCCATTCGTTTTTTTGTACTTCATCGTCAATGCACATATCAACTTTATTTTTTCTTCAATATTACCGCAAGGAACTACTTTTTTGTTTACTTGAATGATAAGGATCAATTTTTCATTAAACCAACCATAACGTGAGATGGCATGTACACTGCTTCATGGCACGTCACCAAGATAAATCGTGACATTGAAAAACAAAAACGGCCAGTAGTATCTCATTTGAATGAATCGTGTTGAAATAATTTTTAAATAACAAGACTCGATAAAGTTATATTATTTATTTTGTCATGATTAATTGTTAACCAAATATATTTATCTTATTTAACATAATTGTTTATGATAGATAACGATAATTAATTTGAATATATAGTAAATGTAAAAATTAAACATATTTTTACATAAATTAAATATTTTTTTTGAATTATATTAGAAAAAGGATAACTCAATTATGGAATGTAAGTGTTTCACTCTTGTATGTTTTATGAAATAATTATATACTTTTTATTTATCAATGGGAAAAGTACAATAAAAACCAATGAACTTTCTTGTTTGGAATGATTAAGTCCTTGAACTTTTTTTTGGAACAAATAAGTCCTTGAACTTT